AATAATATATATAACTTCTATTTCTTTTTTTGTCTTCCCTCATCTTCTCCTCATTATACATAATTACATTTTTTTGGGGTGTTGAAAAAAATAATAAATATTAATCTCCCCTTGTTTGGGGTAAGAAGTTTTTTTTTCTTCCCCCCCGGGGGGGGGGGGGGGGGGGGGAAGGACACTATTTCAAACCAAAAATGTTATTTTCTATACCCGTATTCAGACCTGGCCTCTAAAATCCATACCTTTTTTCAGACCTGGCCTCAAAGAAATTGTCATCATTACTTAGATTAGAACGCCAACAAAAAGGCATATTTCTCTTTCTTTCTCATTCATTTGGAACTGAAACGATAAATATGTTCATACACTCCCGTCCCATGGTTCCCTCGAACACAATACCCGTTTTCAGACCAAAACGGTGCAAAAACCCTTTGGGGCGGCACATACTTATATGGCTTATATAAGGGAGTACCCCCCCGGGGCTGTCAATCAGTTGAAATTTCGGCCAGATATGTAAAACAATTTGTGCGCTGTGAGACGGGGCCATTATCTACCGCGCGTTTGTACTTCATATTTGGCATATGGAAACATTTGGAAAATACAAAGCAATGAATTCTTGTTGGCGATGAATTCTTGTTGTCTGCGATGTAATTTTACAATAATGCTGATGAGGGCCATCCTTTCAACACTAGTTAAACTTACACTTGAGCGTAAGTAGTGAGCATTTTTAAAGCACGCTATGTCTTGATTGCAGCTGTACACGCCTGATCGTCTTTATAACAACGAAAATTGCATAAGAGCTATTCCTCGAAGCATGTCAACCCTTCCTTGTCTCAAAGTTCTTCCAGGCAAAGCAATTATTTTCTTTTCAATTTCGTCGCATATGGCGTTTCGACGGCGTCTCATAAGCGTTGGGCTTGGAAGACAAGGTCTTACTGACTCACTCATTTGACTTATGATTTTAGCATAGGTACACTGGTTACAAGAATCAGTTAGTTTGCACAAATCCTTTTCGCCACTTCTGTAGATCCCTTGAAATGTGGTATTCCCTGTCGAGCTTGTTCTTCTTAAGCTACTCGAGGTGTGCGATTTTTCTACCAATACTTCAGAGTTACTGCCAGATATAAGTAACCATTTTGTTTCATCGCAAGTTTTCTTTCGATCAAAATGTCTTCCACGACCTCTGAGGAGACGGCCCTTAACGAAACTGCACATGATGTTCAAATTCTGTTCTCCAATTGTATATATGTCACTTTTGACAACCTCTGATACGATATTGTTTCGTTTGGTTTTGACAAGAAAGTTCCAACAGATGACAACTGGCTTTAAGTTTATGTAAAACTGACAAATAAAACTGGTGCGAGCTGATTCTCTATTTGAGCCGTTCTTTTTGCCTTGTACAGTATGAGCCAATGACTGGAGCAAAACACACTGAAGACGTCGGCGTGGAGCCAAGTTAGTTGCGTGAGAATTCTATCAGCAATAAGTGACCTCGGAGCAACTGGATGCTTCTCCTTTCAAAAAGCTGAAACAGAAACTTATGCATTAACGAGGCGAATGTTTTGAACATAAACAATCAACAAAGCCCGCTTCCGCTCGATAAAAGCTGTATAACAAAAGCAAAATAAAAGGTATGAGCCACCAACAAATGTCCCGGCAAGATGCACTGCACGGGACCCTTATAAAGGCTCTTCAACGTGCATGTAACTGACTTATTGGACTTACACTGCGGGCAGGTTAAGAACACAAAGTCTGCATTGCGTAAATCCTAGTTGAAACAATTTTACTCCGCGCTTCACGGAGAAGAGAAGCCACAATTGCTGCTAGAAACAGGACACTGATATCTCCGATGAGGATGATTGTCAGATTTGAGCCGTGCGGCAGCGTATACTTAAGTAATGTGATCATCAAATAGTAATTAGCTTTGTACTTGAGAACACGTTCTCTAAAAATGCCTTCATGGCAACATGTGAACTGGCTAAAACAATTGAAGCTAATTGAAATATTTCCACTCATAAAAAGCGATTCTTAGAGCGGAAACTAAGCAACTCTCGCAATTCATTTAGAAAAAAATTCACTATATATACAAATCATTTGGCAAAATTCGGAAACTTGATCTAATAAATGGGGAGCTAAAAATAATCAAAAGAAGAGAATTTTACTTACAAGTTGATCCCTGGGTAATTCGTTTAACTTGTCAGAAGCTAGTCACGTTTGTGTTTCTATCATTGAACCAAGGCGATAACATTCCATTATATACAGTTATATGCTGCCCAGACTACGTAGTTCCGTTGACGTCATCACGACCAGCAACGTGATAAACCGGCTGTTGTTGGATTAGAATAACAGATATGAAAGCTATGCCTGGAGCTTCAGTAGTGATCTCTCAAGCACGGATGCCATTATGCTTGCCTGTTTCAGTGTGTTACACACTAATCTTCTTGTGGACGCATTTCAAAGGGATATTTAAGGAAAATCCATCAGTGTTCTTCTGCCGTGTCAGATCTTACCGTTAGACGTCATTTGTAGCAATCGTCATAAACAGCTGTCGCAATTTTTATTAGGCAAGGCTCTGTCGGATTGTCATAAAAAAGGTCGTCAAATATTTTACAAGTTATAAAATTCCAAATTAGGTTTGTTTGATTCCTCTTAATATTGCTAAAATTACTCAAATCAAACCGGTTGACTATTTTGAAGGTCCATAGAAAATAATACAAGCGTCTATACCCCAAAGGTTTCCATTGTTTTGTCTATGCCTTGGGGATCCTGTTTACTCTTTGTGGGCAAAATTGTGCACCGGCACACCTGGGTTGTAACAGAATATCAAATATATGAATGTCGAATCTGCCTTGATGGGAAAACCAGGGGCACCCAACGACTGCTTTCTGTAAAATATCTGCTCGGAGCGAAACAAAATTAAAAATAGAGAGATTAAGATTCACGTTTACGCCAAACAGCAAACTTGAATTTGTACCACACGTGACCATTTTTTCCCCTTAGTTGTCGTTAACTGTTTACTACTTCTACTCAAAAATTAGTAATTTCGACGCCAGTTTTATCCATAAGAATTGTTCTGGACAGTTTTTATCTGCTTATTTTCTATTTTGAGAAATTCTCAACTTGAATCCGACTTTTGCGGTTTGCCGTAAACGTGAGTCTTAATCTCTGTATTGACTAAAATTTTCTACGGCTTGAGGACGGCTAAATGATTCATGTGCAATTTTCGAAGCTAATCTAATAAATTCCCTACAATTTCTGATGTTTCATTTTTCACATTTCACTCCCCTAGTTATGCTATTTTTCGTCCAAAATGGAAACCTAAAGTAAGTTGGAAGTAGGAAATCGACCTTCCTCGGCTTTCGTAGTTGAATTAGACTGCGAGCAGTCTCTTATTTTTCTTTGCAAAGTTACTGCACGCGAAACCTAAGCACGTGACGCGAGCCGCGAGAAACGAGGGCGTTAGCCCGAGAAGAAAACATAAGAGCACTCCGTCTTTTCTTGTCTCGTCTCAATTGTAATGATAACGTCGTGGTTTGCAATCGCGCTGGATGATGATAAGAACTAGACGGATTTTAAGAGAAAAGACGGACTGCAAGCAGTCTATAAGTGAATCGCTTTATGTGACTATAATTTAGAGCGGTTCTCACTTGACTGTCGAAAGTAATTGTCGCGTTCCCAGTGTCGTAGACGCGTGGCGTTAGGCACTGGAGTTCGCCAGGTCAACCACAGTGAAGCACTAGGCGGTCAGCAAGATTCAATGACGTTTATTAAAATCAGGCTAGTCCGACTATTTACAGCACTTGCGGTGAAAACTAGAAAGAAACGTGCGATTTTTACGTCAGAAGAAAAGAAAACTAAGATAATGCTCCGTGCACGAAAAAAGAAAGAAAAACAAACTACTGAATTACAAGCGTGACTTACGTCTGATCTTGACTCCAGGGGTTAAAAGAACTCCAAATCTCCTACAGTTGTAATAACTCCGAAAGTTCTCCAAAAGCTCCTTACACTGTGATGGACTTCTTACAACTGAATAAACGTGCTTAGGAAAAGAATAATCTAACGCATGCCTTCTGACGTAAAGGAAATAAAACTGAATAAAGCTTTGTACGCCTAGCCAAAAAACGGATATACGATGATCATGCAATAAAATAATCAATGTTACAATCACGAAAGAAAAAACAGTCCTTGAATGTAACTAATTAAAATGTCATCTCTCGCGGATAACGTGACA